ATTCCTCATGTGCTAACAGTGAGGCTTGCAAGAAAAGAAAGTTCTTATATTTATCCAAGATCATTGCAAAAATGACTAACTTTAAAAACTGTATTTTAACTTTGGAAAATCAGTAAAATACTTATATATGTGAAATTCTTAACATAATAATGGTCAAATGTTCACTGCTTTGACCTATATGTTTTTCCCCAAAATATCACTGTTTTTTGAATTAATAAAATGTCCATTATGACAATAACTAAAACTCTAAAAACTTTTACCGTGTTCCCCTTTTTGGTTGGGATATATACAATGCTGACGAATAAACTTGGGGCATCCAGCATTCACTGGATTGCCAGCCTGACTTTAAAAAAAAAAAGAAAGAAAATTAACCTGAATATGTTGCATTATCCCTGGAGCAAAGAGGAAGGAAGAATAGGCGGTTTGTCTGGTGTGATAAAACAAGAATTGAGAATTGATCTGGAAAACAGTGGTTTTTCTTTTTTCATATTCCTCCTATATACCATATCTCAGTTGCACACCTGGTCCTGGTAGCTCATTTCAGGGTTGTTATTTCATAGTGTCCTGCCCCATCCATCTTTATTCTTCTCACCATGCTGCAATATTTAGATAACTCACATTTAATAAAGACTAAGCATATCTGAAATCAAAAAAAGTCATTATTTTAAATGGCTATACAATAGCCCCATAAAAGTTTTAGGTATTTACGTTGTAGCATTTCACTGTTCATTAGGATGTGAACCTGGTACCCAGGCAACTAATAATCTAGTTTATGGACAGAAGGCTATGTTAAGAAGTTAGCGTTTCCTTATTAAGGATATATTAGATATGAACCAGGATGTGTGTGGGTGTGTGCATGTGTGCTTGAGAGAGACAGGAAAACAGGCAGAGAAACGAACAGCAGGGAAATGACAGAGAAGAAAACAAACAACTCTCGAAGCACAAGAGCCTGTCTGCCCAAGTGCAGCCTCAGTGGGGATTTGGGCTGTTTGAGTTAAACTCTGCTTCTGCCACTGTACTAGTTATTTTTTTTTTTTTATTGCTGTGTCTGAATACCCAATGAGAACCAACTGAAGGGTTTATTTTGACTTACGGTTTAAGAATGGATACAACCTATCATGTCAAGGAAGACATGGCAACAGAAGTCTGAGTGTATGAGTTACGGTACTCTAGATATATACACATACACATACATACACACACACACAAAGTCAACTCACATTAAAATATTTAAATAAGGTGAATCACACATAAGAGGCCAAGAATCTGGTAGTTGCTGGGTCTCCAAGGCTGGGTGTCTTAGCAGTGATGTGGTTCCACAGTTGCTGTCTCACAGTGGAGAGGCTAACACCCTATCCAGTGGTTGCTTGACCCATAAGACTGGATGCTTTGGTAGTCATAATCTTGTTCTGAAAACTGGGAGGTTCTGGAGAGCCATTGTTCCTTACTTTATGATGGAAACACTGGTCCTGATATCCGTGAAGGATCAGCAGGATCAGCAGTATCAGCAGCATGAATCAACTCTGCAGCAAGGTCAACCACGCAACAGTCAAGTAATTCTCATCCTGCCATGTCTTTTTCATCTGGACCACTACCAGAAGGTGCTACCACCTACCGCTGGGGTGGGTTGTCCTGAATCAATTAAGACAATCAGGTGAGTTCTTCAGTTTAGGCTCTTTACTCAGTAGTTCTAACTTATAACAAGTTAATATTAAAACCAACATAATAAAGAGGCACCTGCTCATCTTGTGTTCACAGTCGTGAGTCAGGAAGTTCAGGAAGTGTGGCCTAGCTTTAAAATCTTAAGAACTGTTCCCTAGTGACTACTTCTTCCAGTGAGAGTCCACTTACCAAAGGTCCCACAGCTTTCCAAAACAGTGCCACTAGCTGGGGAACTAGTGTTCTAACACATGAATTGGTGTGGGGCATTTCATATTCACATATAAGTCACAGGTTATCCTTGTTGGAATTGGCTTCTCTTTGACTGTTTCTTCCCTACAACATGGGCATATGATTAATAGTGCCTACTTAATGAAATTTATTTTGGCCAAGATTAAATGAATTAATGCATCTAAACCCTTCCATGGCATCTCTTCCTAGCTCTTAGTATTATTACTAGCACTTCTTGGTGCTTAAATAGTGAGTTGTGTTGTTAGCAAAGAGGAACTTACGATTCCTGGGAAATTTGAATTGTGAGTGGAGCAGTGGCTCAAAGAGCAGCCATAATTGGAAAGGGTAAAGGACCGAGGGTGGCATGGACCAGAACAAAACAGGAGAGGAATTGGGCCAGGCCTCAGCAGGTCAGCATGACCAGTGCAGAGAGGAGTTGTTTATACAGTTTCTGGAATCCAAAGCTATTAGTGGATGAAATGGCTGGACAGAGACAGGAACATCTCTAGCATTTGTGAAATGTGAGTGAGGAAGGAATCCCCAGTTAATAGAATACAGAGATAAATTGGAACCATTAAGAACCTATGAAAATGTCTTCACAAAGAAAAGGACCAAGAAGCTAGTGGCAGGACTCAAAGTGATTCAATGAACAAACTGTGTCTCCTGGGGTCAGTTGTCTAAGGAATGAGAATACTAGATATGGGATTGCTAACCACATAGAGCTACCATAGGACATTAGTTTGCCCTGTGATGAAGCTTGGAAAGCCCAAGCAATGGAGGTGGCTTAGTAAGTAGATCTCATGCTCATATGACCTCCAGGCCAGATCTCATTTCTAAGGCTCTTCAGACATTCTCTCAACCTCTCATATCACACTCCCCTTTACAGCTGGAGGCACAGGTACCATGGTTTCTGAAGTTTGTGTCAAGGGGAAGATGCAGTGTAAACACTCAACTAGGATGAAGGCTCTCAGACCATCCTCTCCTCTCTACAATTTAGGCACATCCCTAGCTTTAAGACAATCTTGTTTGTTGAATTATACCCACTGACAGCATATGGCCTGCATCTCTACCCAATAGCCTTTCTCCTTCTTGTTGCCATACAGCTTCGGTTTTTCCTCTGTGTTGTGCAATGACTCTCAATCTTTGCCTTGTGGACTGTGAAGTTGCTTATAGCTACCTACTTCTATAGAGCTGGGGCTGATCAGGGTAGGGAATGTCAGATGTCTGGTTAAGATGCAAGTTCGATTTTATTCATTGTGGCCTTTTAAAAGGCTTTTATATAAGAGGTGGAACTTCTTCTACACCCAAGTCTACACTTCTTGGTGTTGCCTTAAGTAGTGAGTTGTGTTGTTAGCAAAGGGGGACTTACGATTCCTGGGAAATTTGAATTGTGAGTGGAGCAGTGGCTCAAAGAGCAGCCATAATTGGAAAGGGTAAAGGACCAAGGGTGGCATGGACCAGAACAAAACAGGAGAGGAATCGGGGCAAGTTTCCAAGCTCCACCAACTATTAGTTTTCATTCCAGAGTCTAATAAAAGTCAAACTCATTCTCCAAGATTCATTGGTATGAAGACCAAGGCAAGCACAGGAAAGGTGTTTAACCCAGATGTTTGGGGACCTTGTGTAAGGCTTCAAAGAATAAAATTAAAGTGGTGTTTCCATGGGAAGGTAGAACACTGGAGGAAACCAGAATAATTTCTCCAAAACCTGGTGGATGAGCACCACTGAAGATGCTGATTGCCATGTGTGTTATGCTGCAGGGTGCAAAATAAACACTGCACACAAAGACCACTAATTGCTTCATTTATTCTTTCATTTAGTCAGGGAAACATCAGGGCTTATTCAGTCTCAGAATGGAAAATTACATGTTGGAGAGAAAAGAGCCACATTTGGGGGATGACAGCACAATTCTGGTCTAGCTCATTCATGTTTGATTTATCCCTTAAAGGAAGAATATCTATACATATAAAGACCAAACTTTAAGAAGCACAATTGAGGGCATACTGAAGTTAGACCTTTCCTTCTCTGCAGTCCAATCTACATTTGCTGATTAAATGGAAATGCGAGGGACAAGAGACACATCTTGGAGAACATGGGACTTGGGGCTCAGTTTCTCCTATTTGAGACTGCAAACTCTTTTTAAGGTTAACAGCAGTCTAGGGCTTCTTAATTGAGGGTAACTTGCTTGTCTCTATAAATGCAAAATGGGATCATCCAGACCACTTGTGTTGGATAGTTAGGGTAAATACTGTAAAGTCTGCAGAGTTGGAGACTCCAGGCATCCAGTTCTGGAAAGTACCCCACATAAGGCCATCACAAATATTCCCAGGACAGAGACTCGATAACACATGGCTGAAAACAAAATCGTATACTTGAGCAGGGAATGTTTTTAAAAACCTCATATGCAAGTTGGGGAAGCAAGGGCTGGGGAACTATTATTTATTTATTTGTTTATTCATTTATTTATTTTCTGCAAAGTCAAATGGCAAAGTTAATTGCAGGAAGTCAAGCTCCCCAGCTTTTAACTATTGCCAGAATACTACATAAACGTACACTCCCATTATTGTTAATGTTACTGTTTTTTTCCAAGATTCCCAAATTGGCAATTTTACCACTTTAAGTGAGGAAAAAGTATCTGGAGAACACAAAACAATTTATATGGAGCATTTCTTTTCATTCTTAGGACTTTTATGCCAAGATAGAGTTAAAACTCTAACATCCAGATAAAAATCAGTAAACTCCATTTCTGTGACCACATGATGATACTCATACACAGAGACAGGCATGGAAGACAGCACCACAAGGAAGGATCAGAAAAATCAATTGGAAAATGGCATGGATCACATTGATGACTAGTAGGCAGAAAATGGCATGGATCTCATTGATGACTAGTAGGCTGGTCTACACTGCTCAATGCTTTCAAATAACACAGAAAATAACACAGTGTTCAAATACTAGGGAGATTAGTGCCAGAGGGGCTGGCACAACCCATCAGAAACAGGTGCAGATTGACACATAACATCCTCTGTCACCTGAACTAAGCCTGCATGATACTGTGTCCAGCCCCACATGGCTATAGGGTGATTGCCAAATGCAGGTCACCTCAAAAACTGTCTACCTTTTGTTTTGTTTTGTTTTGTTTTGTTTTGTTTGATGACGATGCATGTGAATCAGAGAGGGGAGGCCTGAGGTGGCAAATGTTTCAAGTGGCTGATAAAGGCTGCACATTCTGAACTCTGGACAAAGTGACTGGGATCTTGGTGTTTCCTGGGCCTGGAGCTTTAGTGACAGGCTGGGCATGGGCTTTGATGTCTGCGATTCGCTCTTTAAACTTCTGTTGAAGAAACTTTTCTTCTTTGGAATAGCTCTTGGCAAATACGGACATCAGCAGGCACCCTGCCATGGATGTACCACCAATGCAGAAAAGCACCGCCCCTGCTAGCTTGCACGTGTCCAGGGCGCCATTGAACTGCACAGCGTGTGTGTCGACCACCATGAAATCAGCTTCACCAAAAGCTTCAATTTTGGGGGGCACAAGAAAGCCCACTGCTAGGACAGTTAGTCCGAAAATCACAAAGACAGTGCCTGAGATGAGTCCGACCTAGAGAGAGACAGGACAGAAGCAGGAGAGGTTGAACAGCTGCCCCTTTCTGCTCCCATTCATCCACAAGGACACTGCCCATTTCTTCAGAGCTGGAGCTCTTCCCAGTCACCCCCAATCTGCATGAACAACAGACTTAACTGTATATCTAAAGTGGCAGGTGAGAGGGAATATCAGCAAGAAAGCAAGGCTCCAAATCTTGATTGCTTTCTACTTGTGCAAGCTGAAGGGACCTGCTTTTAGTTCATTTGGTGTTGGGAAGAGAGAACTGCCTGATTCCCAGAGCCAGCCCATCTCTGTCCTTGAAAACCTTGATGTCACCAGAGGCTGCCATATCACAATATGTTATGCCAAGCACAACACATCTCATAGAGTGTTGACTCAGACATGCTCAACCTGTGACCATGATGGAAGAATACAAGACCAAGTCAATTCATGGTACTGTCATAGTTTTTACAAAACAGAGTTGTCACATAGACTGTTCTTTGAAGCACGAAGGCCACTCTCTTGTTGCTTTTTCCACTGTAACTGTCCTTTCACTGGAGTCTGCCTTCCTTACAGACAAGCTTTATCAGAGAACTGTCTAGACAATACAGAGTGCTCTGTAGCTTCTGTAGTCTCCTCCCAGGATCCCCTAATCAAAACTTCACCATATAGCTCATTCTTTCCCACTCCCTCATTCTGTCTTCCTGTGGTGTATTATCATCACTGCAGTGGGCAACAGACCCAGCATTGCTCAACTGACCGATGTGGTCCAAGTGTTTGGGGTCTGAGAACACTGACAATCTTCATCAATGCTGATACCCTTGTAAAGCAAGAAGGAAAGAATTCATAGCCAGCAGGTAAAGATATGGAGCCTCCAGAAGGTCAGTCACTGTCTAAAAACAGACCCACCACAGAGAGAGGGCCTGGCAGTCATACAGATGAGCCTGACCCATGTTCTGTTTCTTTTCACATGCAGTTGAATGGTGTGCAGATGCCAACATATTAGAGCAACAGATGGAATATAAACTACTTTCTTAAGTGTGACACAGTTATGTTAGGCTCTCACTTCTGTAACCAAATGCCTGGCTAGAGAAACTTAATCGAGGAAGGGTTTATTTGGGCTCCAGGAGACACTGTCAATCATGGTGTAGAATGTGGGTCTGAAGCAACTCCTTGGCTGTGAAAGTACAAGGATGATTTTTGCTTACATCCCATCAGGTCAGGAAGCAGAGCAAGGGAACTATAGGTGGTCAGTGGGTGTGACAGCTAATCTTGGTTTTCAACTTGACCACATCTGGAATCAACTACAACTCAAGCAGTTGAGCAAGTCTGTGAGGGATTTTTTTTGATTGGATGGGTGGATCATTCAAGGTGGGAAGACCTACCCTAAATCTCGGCCACACCTTCTGGTTGTGCAAGAAGGAAGTTTCTTTTTTGTTGCCTACTTGCTCTGGGCCTCATTGACAAATTTGCCCATCCTCCGGCTGAGGCATTCATTCACTATTATTAGAATCTATGTATTTGGGATTCCAATATAGACCAAAGACCAGCAGCTCTGTAGGAATCCTTTAGGACTTCAAGACTGCTGAGACATAGAGCCTTGTGGACTGAACAATGGCCGAATCCTTAGCCTTTCAGTCAGTGGACAGCTACAGAGGACAGCCTGTAAGCTACTCTTTCCCATGTATCTATATGTCTATATATGTTATATCTATATATCGACACATTCATTCATTTTCTCAGTTCTGTTTCTTCAGAGAACCCTAGCTAATACAGTTGACATTTTTTTCCCTTTATAGCCATTGTGGGACCCCAGCTCATGGGATGGTGCTTTCCCTATTCTGGGAGGAGCTGTCATCAGTTAATCCTCTGTGTAATTATCCTTACAGATATTCTAATGAATACTTCCCTAGTGTCCTAGGAGTTCCTTAATGCAACCAAATTGACAATGAAAACTAATCAGCAATCAGCAAAGAGCAGAGAGGCAAAGTGATATGCTACATGATTAGAGCCCAGGAGGGGTAGATAGCCTCACCTTGGGCTCTCATCTTGCAACTTGTACTGGAATTATAAAGTTGCTTGAATGCTTGTATCACCATTTTCCCTATCTGTAGAATGACAAATGACTATAGTACCCATATTATGATACTGTGAAGATTAAATAAAACTATGTTAAAAAAACACTTAGTGTTTGGTAAGTAAAAAATTTTGATGAGTAGTTGTTATGTGGAGAAAAACTTTGATTAACAGTATTAAAACAGTTACTTATTATTTGGAATAAGAACCATTTAAATGACTATCCATTCTTCCCATTCCTAATTGCTATAAGTTAGAGTAACAAGGTTGGGAAAATAAACAAATATATAATCCTACCTAATCTTGGAAATTAAAGTGTGTTTATTTATCTGTTGAATTTTAGAGGTGATACATTGAGTGAGGGGGCTTGGATAATAGAAGGAAAATACCCTCATCAACCTGGGACTTTGGCAAGGGCACTACTGCTGTTTGGCATTAGCTGTGGCCCAGACACCATGCTAGATGCTTGTGCATTTGATACAGATGCTTATGAGAAGCAGATACTTTCAAAGACCTCATTGGAAGATGCAAGGGTCGAAGAAGTACATCTCAAGCTTCTGTAGTTAATCTGGACCTGTGTGGCCCCCTGCTTGTCTTAAGCCTACAATATTCTACCAATTGCCAGTTTGCATATTCTATTATTTTAATTTCAAGAGAGTTTTATTCACCATATATGGACATGTCTTCTTTACTGTGATATGGTGAAGAAAACTGAAAAACAAGATATGTCAATGTGAGCCTAATTAAAAACACAGAAGCTATTCTGCATGAGAAGCAAGTAATGTAGGAAACTTTGGGGTGTAAAATCATATTTTGGATTGCTAAAAATGATGGTAAGTAAATTCACCTTCTGAGACTAGCCATTATTTATAACTTCAAAAATGACTCATATTGGAAAATTCAGGAAGCACAAACTAAATTAACTTAAATATCCATGGTGACTCGCTTCCCATGTCACTAAATTACCTCCCTCCTCAAGAACTGGTGCCAGAGCTCAGAAACCAAGGGTGAGCAAAGCTGTGGCTGTTTTGCTTGTGCAGCTTCTGCAGAGCTGAAGAGGCAGTGCCCTGTCTCTCTGCCTTACTTCTTCAAAGTTCATAATTGAGCCTGACTCCCTGAAAACACTCTTGACTGGCAAACTCCAGCCTCTAGCCTACTGAAGTGGCCTGAGGTGATTGATGTCAGCCCAGCCTGCCTCTCAACTGAGCAGTGCACAAGACAAAAGCCACTCTGAGAATATCACTCACAGGCAGGACATTTGGACCATTGTCGGAACTGGAGAGTGATTGGCCAGGCAGAGCTTCCCATCTTTCCTTTTCTCCTTTAGCACTTCATAGAAGAAGAAGTAGACAGCCACCACAGCTGTCTGCTATCAATGCAAGTGTCATGGAACCTCTAAGTGGTGTGTCCACAGAGGGACTGCAAACAGTAGATAGCTTGCAACTATAGGCATGAAGGACTGATGAGTGAATGAATTCTGATGCAAATGCTTCTTAAATCCCCATGAGAATTATGAAGGGGGGTGCAGGTGGACTGCATATCCTGACCCTGAGTCCATGTTGGAATACTAGAAGGAACTTAAATGTGGGGAGTGATCCCATCAGGCATCATATGGACTGAATAGTTGAGATAGTCTTTCATCTAAGGGAAAAATCAGCAAAAGAATACAGGGCACACAAAGGTCATTTAAGGCTCTAAGAGAGCCTTGGAGTTTTGTTTGGCACCGTGTGTGTGTGTGTGTGTGTGTGTGTGTGTGTGTGTGTGTGTGTGTGTAGAGGTTTCAATAGAGCATCCTCAGGCTATGGGGTGGTGGTGTCAGCCTCAGCAGTGAGTTTAAAGGAAATCACTAGGTTATGATAAACTTTTACAGCAGTAGCAAGGCCAGTACCTAGGCTCTGACTTGTGAGGTCTACCTGAGCTACACAGAGCATGTGTGAAACCCATTCCTTGCTGTAGCAAAGAAAGAGTTGGCTAGAGAGGCAACCTTGGTTGCCAAAATTGCTGTTATTTTGACCAGCATCTCCTTCCTTGTTTCCTAGTGTTCTGGTGAAGTCTGACTTCATAGTATGTGCCAAGCTTGTAGGCAGAGCCAGCAAGCAGCCTCTGTAGCACAGCTGTTCTGGCATAGAGGAGGCAATAATGACTGCTGGAGGCCAGAAGCAGCTAGGCAGAGAGGAACAGCCTGAGGAGGCAGGGAGAAGGCTGGATGGAGCTGGGCTGAAGGAGCCATCTGGGGTGGAGATCATTTAAAGCTCAGGGGAAGTGAGAGCTTAATTCTGATCCTTTCCCTTCCCTGATGACTGCTGTTGCTTTCTCTGTAAGCCCTGAACTCTGAGTAGTAACTTTGCCCATGGCTGTGGTAAGGTCTTGCTCATTACCTACCTGCCCCATCTAGATGCTGAGCTCTTCAAAGTGAAGCCTGATGTAGAACTTTGACTTAGGTACTTCTTCAGAGTTGACCCCATGCAGTATGCTTGGCATCCCTCCACCAGAAGAAGGACTTTCCCATCAACCCTAGCACTTCACAGCGATCACACAAGCAAATGCAACAGCTTCCATATTCAAAAAGTACTTTAGGTCCCATGCTCATTTCTTGGGGTCATTCCTGACTTTGACATCCAATATTTGTCCTCTGTGATGCCCTAAAATGGCATTCTCTTAATTATCAAAACTCCAGAGTCACAAAGATTATCACATATATAGGAAGCATGCATTTACCCCAGATTTACTTCCCAAATCGAAATATTGTCTTTTTATTTTCCTACTGTACTCAGTACACTATAAGGCCGTGGAGAAATTCCTATTGCATTCAAAGCTCTCTGTGAGTTTCTGGATACATTTCCAGCTCACCTCTGATCCTTCTCTCCAAACCCACAAATACCTCTGTTTGCTCTGTCTGGGTCCCAGCTATCTGCTATGCTCTCTACCAATCCACATCTCACATTTGCAGTGCACTTCTTTCTAACTTGGTGCCCTGCTTCTGCAGATGCACAGGGAGTCACCACTGGGGTCAAGTTCTCCAGGCTGCAGCAGATACACACTTCCTCCTGTCTTCCAAACTCTGTGCTCCCAATATGTTCCATGACCATTTTGATAGAAACAGCATTCTGGATTGTAATAACTGTTGTCTATATCTCTACTTAACTGTGCCTTTATGTATCTTGTTCAGGGGCAGAAAATAGATCCTTTATAATCTATTGCACTTACCACGTAGTCTAGTGTGTGGTGGACCAATAAACATTTGTGGAAAGAAAGAATGGCACTGAGATAGATGCCATGTATAAATGAACAGTGAGGGCAAAGTACAGATTCTAACAGGTCCATGCGATAGCTCTCTGTTCTCATTACCCTCTCCAGTCTGCTCACTGCTGAGGAGCTCAAGGGCAGAGTGCTAGCTAACAAGGTACTGTGAACACAGCCCCAAGGGACAGACTGGCTTGACTTTTGCAATTCCATAGTGGAAGGGAAAGAGGTTGTCAGCAACTTGAAGCACCTATAGTTGCAATTTGAAAACCAAGAAAAAAAAAAAAAACACTGTACAGGGTCTTACTGGGCCATGTGCACAATGGGGCCCTTTCTCTTTTACTGGGTCCTGTGCACAATGGGGTCCTTTCTCTTTTAATGTTAGAAATTTTTTCCTGAGAAAATTTCCAGTCAGCCTGCTTTGGAAGTTCCCCAGAATAGCCAGCCTCTGCCCTGAGTAGAGCAAATGTCACCAAGACAGACTCTTTAGGCTGTGCAGGCTGACATTAGGGTTCCATGTGAAGGATTTTATTGGAATATCGCCTCAGAGCAGTTTCAGCCTGTGTTCCTGTAAAACAGGCTTAACATAACAGGGAACAAAGACTTTAGACCTTACTTGAGTAAGATAGAAGGGAAGATATTAAAATCCTAATGGGGATGGTAATTTACCATGGGTTCCTTATTTTTGGTCCATGGTTATATAATTTTTAATGGATTTGCAGTTCCCAAATCACATACCAGTGCTTGGGATGCACACAAATGCTTAAGTATTCTTTATGTCAGTAGCATTTAAAGATATTGGCAACATAAATATTCTCCACTCATGCATATACATACATCTATACATATGGAGAGAAAGAGAGGGGGGAAGAGGAGAGATAGGAAGGAGAGAGTGGAGGGAGGGAACTTAGTGGGGAAGCAATCATCTATGCAAGGTGTACCTGGATCACGTATGCATTTCATCCATCTGAACTGAGGTTTCTACACAACAAGGATACTGACCTGTATAACTCTAACACAGATTCCATGACAACGGTATGATTTTGAATTAACACAAGTCTTGGGTCATCCGCACTAATAACTATGTTACCCAAAACACAATTCACTGGATTTCCAGTTTTATTTCTGTTTTAGCATGTAGTATTCTAATTGGCATGAAGTGATAGCTGTTAACACATAAAAATCTTTTTGAACAAATAGCAGTCATTGTTTTAACCACTTTATAAATACCATCTCAAATCTCACATTATTTGCATCGTAAGCGAAGTGTCACTACTCAAAGTTACAGAGCTATGAAATACAAGAGCATGGGTCTGAATTCATATGGCTTGAGACAGGAATCTATGCCCACACTCACTAGGCTAAACTGCCTCTTGCTATACTGTATTACCAACACATAGCAGTTGGTAATGTCTGCGTCAAATGTTCGGTATCACACTCATAATCTCCACCTGTCCCATTTCTCTACTAGATATCTCCATCTAAGCATGTCACAGCATTATTCAGGACAGAAGCTCAGACTGAGAGCCTGAGATCTTGCTTGATGGCTTTTCATTGGCATCTCTTGAGAGCCTGGCCCTCATACTTAATGCTAAGATAAAGCATCACTGGTACCTGCCTAACCTAAGCTGCTGTCTCTTGCCCAGGTACATTAACAGCTTCTGAATGCACCTAGCTGGGCTTACCCAATAACATCTTTTCTGTTCAGTAGCTAGAAAGATCCTGGTAACATATCTTCCAGTCTGTGTCACATCACCCTGGCTTCTTCAGATGGAGGTCCCTGATTTCTGAGGCAACAAAGGCAACAACCTATGTCTTCATATTGTCTAGAAGACCCCACAGAGAACAACTGTGCTCTTATTTTTCTGAATTCAGTGTCTTCCCCATTCTAACTCTACTTCCAGACTGGACCTCCTCCCTCCCCCCAGGGGCTTGCTATTTTCTCATCTCTGAATGACATTTAGCTCAAAAAGATTCTGGTCTACTCCACAAGCCCACCTGTATTTGCTCAGTTTTCATGTTTTCTGCAAACCTCTCCCTATCATTGCACCTTGATCTTTCTCTATCTCTGTACCCCCGTTACCATGTGCATCACCTCCTTCCTCTTATGTGTAGAGCTGGTGTCACTTGACATGTTTTTAGGGCCTTTATGTGGGTACACCAGCATTCATCTCTCTCTTCTTCTTGACTACAGACACATTCGACCAGCTGCCTCAAGTTCTCACTACCTGGGGCAGGTTGTAAGCTCTATGTGGGCAGGGAATTTTTTGTTTCTTGTTCATTTCCAGCACCTCAACCCAATCATTCTACAGATGCAGTCAGTACTAAGTATCTCTTGAGGCACTAAATGCATTTTTTATAATGAGGCTTCTCAGACAACCTCTATATGGTGAAGGCAGAGCTAGTTTATGACTATGGGGGATGTTTCAGCATTAATGTCTGCTCAACATCTAATGGTTTCTTTCTAGTGATTGTTCCAATGTGTCAACTGATACTCAGTTCCTTCTTTCAACACTGTGATAAAACACTTAAAAGAAGCAACCGAAAGGAGAGGGTTAACTTTGGCTCACAGTTTGAGGGAATACAATCCTTCATGGTTCAGGAAGGCTTGGCTCTTACTGTAGAGGCAGGGGCTTGCTCCCTCTGGACAATCAGGAAGCACAGAACAGGTAGGAAGCCAGTATAAGGTACAGATGCCAAGGCCCACCCTCCATGGACCCACTTAGTTCAGCTAATCTCTACCTCTTAAAAATTTCACAAACTCCTGAAACAGCACCAACATCTGGGGAACAATTGCTCAAACATAGGAGCCTGTGTGGGACATTTCACATTCAAACTATAACAAATATCTATTCAGACTGTAAGGGCGGCTGAAAGAACACAGTGTTCTGCATATAAGTGGCTTCACAGTTAATGAGTGAAGTGGCCAGTTAAGAGCTAGCAAGACTATTGCCTGGCCCTTGAACCCACTCCTGTTTAACCAACCCATCAAGTAATTATGTTGTAATTAGAAACTTTCTTTTACCCCAAATTTATAAGCTCCCTTTCAAAGGAAGAAAAATGCATTTAATGCCACCAGGATTGAGGCTCACACAGAACCTCTCAGTTCTCTGTACTTCCATTATTTTCCACGTCTGATTTTTTTTTTTCTCCATTGTTCCTTTCCTCACCTTCCAGAATACCGAGCTCCACCTGTTAGGTGATCTCTGGATCTGGAAATCATCCTCATACTCCCAGATGGAGGCAGTGCAGTCCTCATAAAACTGATGCAGGTAGGACCGAACTCCATAGCGCTGGTACCCACCCTCGGTGTCAGCCTGGGCTTGCTTGGACCCACAGGTGTTGCTGCAAGAAGTCATCTTCCCAGCTGGAAAGATAGCATACACAGAGATCAGCCCTGTGGGCTAGTTCTTGAACTCCAGGATCAAAAGGCATATTAAAGCAAGGATCAGGCTGAGTCATGCTAGGCCAGCTTATTTAAACAGTTCTCTTTTCTTAAGGGAAATGGCACCTCTAAGGACTCACCTAGCCTTTTCTGTTGAATGCAAAATCACCCCCCCCCCCCCCACACACACACTGTAATCAGTGGCTAGAATTTGTTCTTCACAAACAAAGGAAATACAACAGCCCCAGTAACTTAAATTAGACAAAATAAAAGGATAAGGTACATGAGAAATGGTAACAAGGAAGCCCTGACAACAGACTTTCAGTGTAAAAAAATGTGTGGGCAGTCTCACTGGTCGTGGTGGAGTTTGTCTTGGAGTTTTAACCATGTTTCTTTCCAGATTGTGAACAGCATTCCTCTTAGAGGTTTCCAATTTTGTGTTCAGAGCTCAGGTAACTTCCTGTGATATTTAACTGACTGCTAATTTATATGAAAACTATGATAGAAAACTTGGGAGCAACTAATATGCTTTATTAATTACAAGTGACTGGGTCATTAATTTACACTTTGCCAGTTCTAGTTCTGTGTATTTCTATGGTTATTTATGTGTGGATATACCTGCTCACATGGGTGTGAAACTGTAATGCAGACAATAGATCCTTTTACTATTTCCTACAAAATGTCTAGTATAAATAAGACTAAAGATAATTAAATAAAACTTGCTATGGGTGAGCTGCCTTGGACGCTACATTTGCAAGATGGAAATTTAAGTTTTTTTTTTTTTTTTTCAATTGTTCCTCTTGAAGATAGCAGTTTATATGGGTTTCGTTAATAATTCATGTTGTTTAAAAATAAAACCTTATTTAATGTGTTTATGTGTTTTATCTGCATGTATGCCTATGTATCATTTACATGCCTGGTACCTGCTAAGACCAGAAGAGGGTCCCCTGGAACTGGAATTACAGGTGGTTATGACCTCCATGTGGGTGCTGGGAATTGAACCATGGTCCTCTTGAAGAGCTGCCAGTGCTCTTAATCTATAAGCCCAATGTTTTTGTTTATTCCTTTTTTATTAAGGAGATGGTCATAGTTTTGGTTGGGTGAGGGACTTCTCAGTTCTGTGCTCTTTGATTTATCTGATCTCTCTATAAGCAGATATATGTTTAGCTAGAAATGGGAAATACTTGGTATTTTTCAGTTTCTTATAGATTATATTTCTTATTTGGACATAATCTGTCCATGACAAAGTGAGACATAAAGTTATTTTCTCGCTGGGAAAATTTGTTTCCAGGAAAGCATAGGACTGTGCTACAATCTAGACCAAGAAAGATACGTTAAATGTTCTAATTGCTTCTCAGGGAACCAGCTAGTAATGTCCACAGGACAAAATGTTCTCTATGTGTAGACAGAAGTTTCTGGTCTGCCAGGTCCTGAAGCTGTGTAGTTCCTTTGTGATCACTTAGCTTGGTTGGACAGTGTGATGGCTATCTTGATTTAGAATCCCCATAGAAACAGAGTTCTGCTATACCTGTGAAGGGTTCTCTAGACTAGGTAAATTGAGGTGGGAGCAATTACTGTAAAGGCAGGTAGCACTATTCCATGGGCTGAAGACCAGCACTCAACAATGGCTGAGCACCAGCATTTAACTCTCCTTTCTGAACACAAATGTAATGTGACCAGCTGTCTTAAGTTCCTGCTGCCATGATGGACTATGCCCCAGAACTGTGAGCCAGATAATCCCTTTCTTGCAGAGATTGCTTTTGTCAATATCTTGTTCCAGCAACTCAGAAGGTAACCAACATAGATAGATGGTGGTGCAAGCTGAGAAAAGTCCCATGGGAACCAAGCAAACCCACAAGCACATCCCTTTAGAAGTACTCCTGTCACACATGAATTCACTTAGAGAATGTAGTCAAATATGAGAAAATACGTTCTCGATGTCAGAAAAATGGCACAAGCATGTGGCATCCTTGGCCACTGGACTCATCTTTCTATATGCTGAACATCATTACATTTAACACCTGTGTACTTTCTTGGTTCAGAAACAACTACCTCTAAAAATGCCATTTAGGAGAACATGTCAGGAGAGGTAAAGGTAAGCAGTTTTTTTTTTTTTTTTTTTTTTTTTTTTTTTTTTAACTTTCAGATATACAGAGAGGTCTTACTTCACAACTAGTCAAGGTTTTAGAAAGTATTTTGTCTGATGGATCAAAAGGAAGGAAGCTATTTTTTGTCTTAAGTGCTGGGATGATCCCTTCAGTACCTTCTATTTCGTGATTATACAATAAATGTGATTAATAAGAGCCTATTACCAGTGACACATAAGAGGAATAATTTTAGAGTTACCTTCTTTGAAGGCATTCTAATAAAAATTTTTAGTCAACTGGAGATGGGGTTGGTATTACTAACTCTGCTTTGTCATTGAGGAAACTGAGGTATAGAAAAATCATCTTGCTAAAGGTTACACTGTGAGTCAGGGAAGAGACAAAAGATGACAGATACTACAATATGCAGGAGCTTGGTCTGAATCATGGCTTGTATAGTCAGAGCCATCTCACCTAAATGTTTTATATAATCTTCAGTTCTCCTACAGAGCATCAGAGCCTTTACCATGAAGAACAAAACTAGATACAAGAGGAATGAAATGTCCCTTTTAGCAACAAGAAGAGCTACTTCATCCGGTTGCTGAAGTCCCCACTCTAAGGACTCAGCTCTGATGCTGAGCAGGGCCCTGAAACTCATTATATTCATTCTCTGCCAAGCTCCCTTCCAGCTTCCTAGTGTTTCTTTGTGAGACTCATTAGTTAAGCATGACTCAAAATAAAATAAAACAAAAAAGAGGTTTCTTTCTTCTTTTTTTTTAAGTAGAGGGACGAAGTGTCATGAAGCAAACATTTTGAGCTTGAGTATGTATTCTACTTCAAATTTGATCATCAGTGATGCTGGATATATTCTGAAGAGAAATCTTGCTGCATCTTACTTCATCTTCCAAGAGCATAAAGCATGAACAGGAAGAGCATGGCCTGTGTCATGCCAGCCACACAGAATAGAGAATGGACTCAGACACTGTTTCTGATTATTAGATCACACTAAGCTTATTAGCATCTCTGGGCTGTAGTTTCATCAACCATACATTAAGAAGGTTGGAACACACTGAAGTTCTGTTTCCCCCAGATGTGTTTCTCTAGGAGTTGTCAGCTACACATCTTCAGAATGAGTCATTTAGTTTTTGTTGGGCAAACAACTGAGCTTATTGATTCCTTACTTCCTTGTGGACTGTCATCCCTAAATGTCCTTAATTCCAGTGTGAAGCTTAGTGTAAGTGGAATGTAAGCCACTACCCAGGCTATTTACTTGTGTTAAACAGATTGGATACTTGCAGACTGTTCATTTCAACCCCCAATTCAGTATCATATATATATATATATATATATATATATATATATATATATATATATATTGTCATCAGTAGTAGCCCCTGGATGGGAGGAGGTGGCTGAGAAGATCCACATAGCTTCCTCAAGATACGACTAGTGGGGGTTGATGTCTTGAGGAGAATGACCACTTTGGAAATGAGTTTTAAAATTGACCATGGTAGAGTAAAGGTTTGGGGCCTAAGAACCTCAACAGAGTTATATAACTCAAGAGAAGTTAGCAAGTCAGAAGCTAGCTGTCTTCAGACAAAATATGTTATAGTTATTTGAAATCTCCTCTGTTGATTGACACCTGTGGTGTTAGACAAAGGATATACAAAGTATCGTCAAAAAATGATTTTAAAGTTGGGCAATTATTAAATGATATGCAACAAACTACAATGGAGACAGGAACTCAAGGCTGGGCAAAGGCCTTTGAAATTGAGTCAGCACTCCCTTACTGGGGAAGGCTTTGTTATTTTGTAGTAAACATCTTGACCAGCAGCCACTAAAACAGTACTGTCAGCACTATTTATGGCAATTCTAAAGGGACAGACCATAGAGGCCTCCTTTTTTCTTCTTCTTTTGTTTTCCTTTTTGAGACAGGGTCTCTCTGTGTAACCTGGAACTCCAACCTCTGCCTCCCAAGTGCTGGAATTAAGGTGTGTAACAGCAATGCCTGGCTGAGGTCCAGCATAGAAACTGAGAAGAGAACTTTCTACAATTATATGTAAACAAGATACTGTTGGTATCTAACTTGTAAATATGCTAGTGGAGCTTCTCTCACCCCCACCCTCTGTTTTGGAGGAGGAGCTCCAGTTCTCTAGTTCAGGTTAGCATTGAATTAACTCTCTGGGTAGGTGAGACTGGCCTTGGACTTCTGATTCTCTTGCCTCCACATTAAGAGTGATGAGATTACAGGTATGCACCACCATGCCTGGTTTATGCAGAGCTGAGTATCAGATCAGGGCCTAGTGCATGGGAGACAAACATTCTACCAACTGGGCTATTTCCCCAGTCTAGAATCACAACAGAATCCAGGCAATACCCCCATCTGTGTGGGGCTGTTTGCTCACAAAGGAAGAGGAATTTGTTTGTGTCCTCCCTGATGGACCTTGTAGATACTGACAAATGAGGCTACCCACAGCTTTCTTCCTATTTGTCTTCAACAAAATATCCTTCATGTGCAACATTTACAGTAGGTGAGAGTTCATATGCTGAGAACCACTCCCTTGCTAGACAAACAGATCCCCATGGGCAGTGCTATAAATATGTGGATCGATATACTGTGGCATCAATTTTTGGGAATTTTAATTTTAAGCTAATAAGTACAGTTACTTTCAATTTATTCTAAAAATGCTCATAGTCATAGAAACTTTATATCTTTATATCTCTTGCAACTCTGAGGACATCACAGACATCACACTGTTTATCTTCATGGCCTCCTTGAGGAAAGGGAGTCAGCAAATGGAGGCACAAAGTAGATGAGTGTTTTCCCATGGCTCTGTGAGTGAGTCACTGTGGGCCAGGCTCAGGCTCTGTTCTCTTTATTCACTTTGAAATAATTCTCAATTTTTCATACTATTTTCTCTCCCTTAAGATGACGCTGAGCTAATGAGAGTGACATTCCCATTAGAGCCACTTTCCACAGGACCAGTGCTACAAGACAAACAGTATAGACTCACGTTATTGAGAACACTTATCCAGAACCAAACCCCAAAAGGTCGCTTCCCTTAAAAGACTCTATGAGATTCACAGTGCACACAGGAAGGCATGAAAGCCCACTAAGAGCTTTGCCACTTTGAAATTGAGCATTCTTGAATTACATCAGCTTGATCATAAAACCTGAAATGTGTTTTTACCATTAGATCAGTTCAGAGATATTTGGAATAATCTTTTGGAATAATCACAGAGATCACAGTTTTATATAACGAGGTCTTTTTATACTCCCCATGTCAGTGCATTGTCAATCACTTTTATACTTTAAAAAAGAGGAATAATAGTACATAATTAGCTTACTCATTATCGATTGCCTGAATCCTTCAAGCTATGTATCTATATGGTTATCTATCTCTACTTATACATTACCTATATCTATCCAATATTTTCTTTCTATCTATCTATCTACCTATCTATCTATCTCTATCAACATATATATTAATATGACATGCAAAGTTTAAAACAAAATAAGCACCCTTATTCTCCTTTTAAACTTCTTCCTTAGCTGCATTCAGGGCACAGGTGCTTATGAATGCACACATGACAACAGCTGACTCTTACCTTCAATGTTCTCCTTCCTCTGTCTGTTTATTCTTTCACTTTTCTTTTAAAATTCCATTCTTCAATTCTAGTTCAGGAAAGAAAACAAAAACTCTGCAGAGATGGTCCAGAGCAAAATCAAAGTTTTATAAGGCACAAAACTATTGACCAAGAACTTATTGTGAAAGAGCAGGAATGGCTTTTCTTTAAAAAATGAAACAGAGCAAAGACACAACAACAAACTCAAAAGTCTAACTGATACTTTAAAACTTTCTAATGGACTCTCATGATAATGTTTGGAGTGAATGAGGTGATAAACCCAAGGGCTTTGTGAGCCCCAGAACACCATATAGGTGCTATTTTTATTTAGGAATCATTGTTTGCCATGAAGTTGGTAACACCAAGTTGACTTGTCTGCTTATATCCCACATATTCTAAAGGAAAGATGACTTATTTCCTAGATAAACCAGAACTGTCCTGCAAAATAAATGAGCTTTCCCATTCCTGTGTCTTCTGACAAGCTTATGTTCATCACACCCTCAACAAATCTCTCTGGACAATTTACTCATTGTGTTTGGTTAACTTCACATCCATTCCCTTCCTATCATGATCAGTTTATTCTCCAGCTGCTTAAGAGAAACAGGTGCCTGTGCAAAATTCAATTAAGAGACCGCTGCCAGCTACTGAGCTATTGGTTTCCTGCATTACTCTAGTCTTGTGAAATTAAAAAAAAAATGAGGAAAACAAAAACTAGGGCCATACCATCCAAAAGGCCTTTAAAAACCCTCTAATGAACAGATTATCTGTGCATTTGAAGGAGAAACTGGAGACTAGATGGGGGAGGTGGGTAAGCCCAGAAAAGGCCGAACAAACTGTCCTCAGCATCTCCACAGTCAGTCTATAATGGAGAATAGCTGTACCATCTTCAAGATTCATTTCCTTGCTCCCGAACTTTGGGTAGTATGCAAGCCAACATATGAATTCAGGAATTGAATTAACAGAAGAAAACAAGTCAGCTAAAAGCAACTACATCACTACCTTCTTCTGTCTCCTAGACTTCTCTCTTCCTCTCTCCTGATTCCTCTCTCTGTCTCTCCCTCTCAGCAGTGTTCCTTCACCAGCCACCTTTCTTGTGCCTGAAGAAACTGATGGTACATGCATCCTCCACCAGACGCTGCCTGTCTGGAGCCTTGAGAGCTCTCCAAGGTCCTGAAAACATGTGTTTCAAGGAGCCAGGAAACAGCTAAGACAACAACATTAGCTAGTTTCTGAGGTCACCAGCCTTGGTCCGACTTCCACTCACGTGTCCCTATCTAATAACAAAAAAAAAAAAAAAAAAAAAAAAACAAAACAAAACAAAACAAAAAACCAGTTCCTGAAATAATATCAAAACATCTCTAAACATGGCCAAGGGGTGGGGAGGGCCGGTAGTGGTGATGCTGGTACAGGAGGGATCAGCTCAACCTGGAAAACAAATCTGTGAAGCCTTGTAATCTCTAAATACATCTATTTTAACCTCGCTGAAAAATACAACTTAAATACAACTTTCTTGCCTTACAGGAAGGAAACTCTTTTAAGTTTTTAGCTGTAAACCTCCAAATTCTTACATAACACAGACAACAAACCCCAAAGCATGAAGTTGGTTGTATCAAATTGCTACATTTTTTTTGGGGGGGGGTGTGGATTTTAATATGCATGTCTTTTGTGAATAAGGAAGGCGAAAGAGGGGAAGAGCGGGCTAGAGGGAGAGAGGAAGAGAGGGAGAAAGGGAGAGACTGATAGAGATTTGTGTGTGAGGAGGGCGGGAGGAAAAAGATAAGGAGGGCAAGGTGAAGAGATAGCCCTAGAACAGTCCTTGGCTCTCCAGCGCCCTGCTTTACCTGTTCCTCCAATTCCCGACCCGTGGAGCAAGTGCAGCCGACCTAGCCGCAGATCTCTCACCGGGGTCCCATCGCCACCGCCGCCGCCGCTGCCGCCACTCCCGCCTCTCCAAGCTCAGCTGCGCGTGATTGACAGGCGGCGGCCACGTGCCCGCGCAGCCCAGACGCGCGCATCCGCGAGTAGGGTCCGGGTCCGCGCAGCGCAGGCGGGCTGCCGGCCGGTGGGAAGGGCCGACCCTGGAGCACCGCCCCTTCCTGCCAGCCAGGGCTCCTTGGTCCCCACCCTGGCTGGGCGGGGCACCAGCCCTGTTCTCTGTTTCTCTCACTTCTTTCTTTCTGGCTCCAGCAGTATTCTGTCTCAAAAGACTTTTCCTTCCAAGGCCTGGGAGTTGAACTTTGGGTCATGAGCTAGCGCTCTACTATTGAACTATATCTCCTTCCTCTTTCTATTTTTGTTTGAGACACGGTTTCAAAAGTTGTACAGGTTGGCTTTGAACCTATGAACCTACTTAAGCCCAGGCAGGGCTTGCACTTTTGACATTATTACTTCAACCTCTCAATTAATTGGGGTGACAAGCTGCACCAAGTTTGTTTTTGTTTGTTCGTTTTCATTTTTGAAACTTTGGTTTGAAAAAAAAACAAACAACAACAACAACAAAAAACAAAGCTAAGGGTGGTGGCCCATACCTTTAATCCCACCCAGCACTTGGGAGGCACAGGCAGGCAGATCTCTGTGAGTTTGAGGTTAATCTGGTCTACATAGTGAGTTCCAGGACAGCCAGCAATACATAGAGAGACCCTTTCTCCAACAACAACAAAACAAACCCAAACCAATAAATAACAATAAACAAAGCGAACAGAGACAGACAAATTAAATGTCTGTTTCCTCCTCGCCCCCTCATTGCAAGTCTGTTGTCAGAACAACAGAGACAGGAAGTGACTAGCTGGACAGCACGGCCCAATTGCCAGACCTTTCCCGCTTCCCTTGGCTACAGCCAGGTATTTCAACTTCTCACGTGGCCCTTGACTCTGACTTCAGGAAATCTAAAACTATGAGAGGGAGACATATTAGAATAATAAACTAAATGACAATATTCAAGAATGAAAATGAATGCTTGAAGGCGAGAACACCAGAGAAATGACCCGTGAGTACCTGGGGAAATGTGTGTGCCTGTGTACACATAGTATATAAAGACAATAACAGCTGCTTCAGGAACTTACCACTGGCAAGTGATACTTAATGAGAAAGGTGATGTAATATTAGTAGATTGCATGCATAGGCAATGACTAATGATAAATGATATCATATTTACTCAGTAGCTTATTTGTTAGGCGTCGATTTACCCACACTATGTGTGTATTCCTCTTATATGTGAGAAATCTTTATTGTCTACAGCAGTCTTTTATGGTGGGTACTCTCTATAATCCCAACTCAACAGGTGGGGAGACTGAGGTAAGAGAAATGTGCTCACAGGATGGCACAGACTTATAATTGCTTGCCACATGTCACACAACCACTGTTGCGATTGAACTGAAGCGACACTATAGAGTCCTGTGTGTGAGCACTTGGTCCCTAGCAGGGACAGTGTTGGGGGGGGGGTATAGAACCTGTAAGAGGTAATGCCTCCTTGGAGGAAGTTGGTTAAGGTTTGAAATTTATTTGTCTTATTTTGAGACAGGGTCTGGAGATGCTGGAACTCAGTATGCAAACCAGGCTGACTTTGAACTCACAGAGATCTGTCTGCCTCTGTTGGATTAAAAGCATGTATCACCACATCCAGCTTGAGGATTTTAATACTTTTTTTTAAAAATTTGAAAGTTCTAAACATCTACCTACCGCTACTCTTTCCAACTCTTCATAGTAACCCCAATTTCACATCTTCTTTTGTTGTTGTTGTTGTTAGTAACTCAAGCCCAGTTAGTGCTGCCCACATGCACATGGGTGTGTGACCATCCAGTAGGTCACATGCAATCCCCATATCTCCAAAGGAGAGTCACTCTCCTTCCCTCAGCAGCATTAAGTGCCAATAGCAGCACCCCTAATAAGGACTGATAGGGACGGAGTCTTGAGGCCTTTTGTGTATCCATGCCTGGCTTGATCTTATGCAGGAAACCTCGGCTGCTGTGGGGAGATGCCTGCAACAGCTGTGCCATGTACAGAAGCCATCATTTCCAGTTCCTCTTTCCACCTGCTAGCCTTCTTCCATTCTGAATCCTTTTCCATGAAGATTCTAGAGCCTGGGATGATAGGAGGTAGATATAGATGACCCATCCACAGCTGAACACTCAAAATTATGTAGATCTAGCACTCTGACCAGTTATGAGTTTCTGTATTAACCACAACCCACTGCAAAAAGAGTTTGTCTGACCAGAGTTGAGAGCATCACAAATATCCTCCCTGGGCCTGTGACATCTGCCACCTGAGCTTGGGCCTTGAGGCTTTATAGTCCAGATCCACTTCCTGTCTGCTCTGCCTCTTATTCTGTCAAGATGTGGGGAAGTGACCCAGGCTCACACCCTGCCTTGGTGGAGCTGCCTGCCCCAGGCCTTCCCTGCTGTGGTAGATGGAGGCTCTTGAACTGTGAGCCAAAGCAACCCTTTCCTGAAGTTGCTTTTGGTAAGGTCTCTGGTCACAGCAGAAGTAAAATGATTAAGCTACCACAAATTGGCAGGGAAGGAACTTCACTTTGCAAGGTGATTTCCTGCCTGGAGAGGATCAAGATTATAGGTGTTTTGCTTATTTCCTTAGCTCCATGTAAATTTTCAGGGGGAAAAAAAAGCCTGAAAAGCAACACTATTCTTTAAATAGAGAGCGGCCACACTAGACTCAATGTTGAAAAAGTGTTTGGAGAGGACCAAGAAGGCAGCGAATTGCCGTCTTTGTTCTCTTTCTTCAGACCTGTGTCCCAGTACCACTTACACGTGATGTCCTTTCTCCCTTCCTGGTCAGCACAAGAAGTTCACCTTTCAGCATCCTTTCCTCTCATTTCCTGGGCAGACCTGATGAGCACCTGTTCTCAGATGAGAGCACAGCTATGCACGTTTTCATATCCTTGAAGGTCCCTAAGAATCAACGCATCTGCACAACTTCGAGTCTTAGAGTTATTATTGCTGTGAAGAGACACCATGATCACGGCAACTCTTACAAGGAAAACATTGAACTGGGGTGGCTCACTCACAGTTTCAGAGGTTCAGTCCATTATCATCATGGTGGGGAATATGGTGGTGTGCAGGCAGATGTGGTGCTGGCCACATCTTCATTAGAAGGCAACAGGAAGTCGGCTGAGACACTGACTTCTATCCTGAACATAGGAAATTTCAAAGCCTGCCTTCTTCCTCTAACAAGGCTATACTCACTGCATACTTTCTAATAGAGCCTCTCCCCATGAAATTTGCGGGGGGCGATTGCATTTAAGCTACCACACTCCAGCTCTGATGTGCTCTTCTTCTGGGCTTCTGGATTGATAGAGCTGACTTACTGCTTGTTTTCCAGGTTGATGCTTGGAAATTGTCCTGGTTCCCTTTGGAAAGCATCTTTTGGTTCAGAAAGTTAGGCTTATCATGACCTAAAACTGAATAGACCAGAATTTAAATTCTGGGTTTACTGCTCCCTACCTGTTCTCCACGTCATTATGCGCATCTATAGAACGTTTATAGAAATACCTACTCCATTGGGTGGCTATAAGAATTAAATGAGATTGTATTTATAAGGCACTGATCACCAAATAAGCCATCAATAAATTATCACTATTATTATATCATTAATAGTATTCACCTGTTTATTTAGATAAGCATTTTGGGAGCCTGTGAGTATGAGCTTGGAGTCTTGTGCCTTCTCACCTCCCAGCCTCTTCATTTGCTTTCTATCCTCCTTTTCAAGCTCCATTTCTAATGTGCACAGTCTCTATCACACACCTATCCCAGAGCCTGGAGGTAAAACATCTCCTACTAACTAGCACAGCAGCCTTGGAAGGAGCTTTTGACTATGTGAGATGAAGCAGCATATGGCAGACAACATCAAGATGACCTTGGTGTATAAGGCTACTTTGTATCAGTGTGGATTCCACTTAGTCATTTTTCAAACCTCGGGGAACAAAGATGATTACTTTGAAGCACCTAAGTTTTGATTTAGAGCATAACTCAGCAGTTTCCCTGGGTTACATTTTTTATTTTATTTAACAGAGGAAGTGCTTATTAATTTATTATTCAGCATGCGTTTGTTGAATATCTGCCATTTAGAGCTTAAAGGGCAAGATACAAACAGAAGCATTATGAAAAGCCGGAGAGAAAAGGGGTCAGGAGAAGTTGTAGTTTCCTGGGCAATTTTCCAGAAGGGAGGCTTGGACTGTAGCCTCAAGCTGCCTTTCTAACCTCCCATCTCATGACTACTTCCGTGTGCATTTCTCAGCAGAGTATACATTTGGCATTGTTTATCCATCCGACACTATCTTAATTCACTGCTCTTGTATTCACCATTTCTTGCCTTGCTCCCCTGACAACTACTTATTATTCTTGTACCGCAGCTGCCACCTGTGCAACCAACCAAGTCTTCCTTAACACACTCATTGATCACCCCTACCTCCACACACACACAGCACACACACACACCTTATATTTGAGAATGACCTTTCTATCCATGTGCTTTCCCACATTAGGACTTTAAATATTATAAAGGAAGGATTTTGCCTCCAGGTGACCTTTTATTCTTACACATAGACTAGATCATGTATTTTGAGTAATTCATAAATTAGCAAATGAATGACAAGGATCTGGTGATAGGTGTGATAGCCAGATGGAATGAAAACCTTGCCAACCTCAGGAATGAAACACACAAGGTTTAGTGTGTGACTCCCAGGGCTGAATCTTGTTCCTGGGACCCCAAGTCTGTAGGAGAAAGAGGGGCAGTGTCCGGGAAGTGCTGTTTTGATCCTCACCCAGCTGGTGAGAGGCAGAGTCACCAGTCACCCGGCCCTTTGGTGGTGACCTTCTCTGCTGCTGTGGCCTAGTCAGACTCAGCTCACCCAGCTGTGCAGCCTGTCCAAGCTGAGGCCAGGATGTTCTCCTCCAAGGTTTGTGATTAGTATGCTCTGTATGTTCTCAGAGAGAACAGATGTCTGCTTGCTGCTTTTCTATTTAATGATGATGGCGGCTTCTCAATGATCAAGATCCAATTTCACATTTTCTCAATTGCTGTGGCTAAGAAATT